GATTCCACAACTTCCCACTAATATCACTCTTGAGAACAAGGACCTTCTATAAGTACTTCTGCTATAAAGGTTGATTCATTAAGAACTGAATACTTAATATTTAAATATTAAGTATTATATTTAAATAGCTACTCAAGACCAAGTAGAAAGCTCAAAGCTTTGCTGACTTCTGAATTTCTATAAAAAACATTATCATACACACAAAGCTGTTATTGGGCCCTAGCCATCAGTTTCCCTGAAATAAATGACTTTTGGGGAGGGGGAAAAGAGGTGCAGCTTCAACAAAAATTTGAGGATATAAATATAGAACATTTTAATCCATGGACCTTTGGGGGATGATTAATATCCAAACTTAGTAGACCTGAATAGATAATTTTCCAAAGACCAATAACCAACAGGCCTATGAAAAGGTTGTCAACATAACTGATCATCAATACCCCAATGAAGTGTCACCTCCTACTTCTTAGAATGACTATTATTGAAAAGACAAATGATAAATGTTGGTGAGGATGTGAAGAAAAGGAAACCTTTTTACACTGTTGCTGAGAATATAAATTGGTACAGCCACTATGGAAAACAGTATGAAAATTCCATAAATAATTTAATAAATAACTACTGTATGATCCAGCAATCCCAATTCTAGCTATGTATCCAAAGAAATGATATTTGGAAGACACATCTGCACTCACATTTATTGCAGCACTAACTAGTCACAATGGCCAAGAAATGGAAACAATCTAAATGTCCATCAATGGATAAATGGATAAAGAAAGTGTAATGCATGCATACATTTACACGTTTTTGACAATGGGGATGAACCTGGGGTACATACTCTAACTGAATTAAGCAAGACACAAAAAGAAAAATATTTCAAAATCTCATTTGTATATGGAATCTAAAAATGTTGAATCCAGGGCTGGGGTTGTAGCTCAGTGGTAGAGCGCTTGCCTAGTATGTGTGAAGCACTGGGTTCGATTCTCAGCACCACATATAAATAAAGGTCCATTGACAACTAAAAATATGTTTTAAAAAAAGTTGAATCCATACAAATAGATAGTAGAAGGGTGAATACTAGGGGTGGTGAGATGGTAAAGAGGAAATAGAAGATGTTGGCATAAGGATTTAAAGCTTTTGTTGTGTAGAATGAATAAATTCTAGAGACTTAAGGTAAAGCATGGTGACTACAGTTAATAGTATACTGTGTACTTTAAGTTTGCTAGGAGAACAGATCTTAAGTATTCTCACCATACACATCCACACACAAAATGGTAACTATATCAGGTGATGACATGTTAACTAGCTTGATTATAGTAATAATTTCAATGTATATCAAAATATCACATTCGATACCTTAAATACATTCACAAATTTTATTTAAAAATAATCAGAATCTGAAAGAGGGAATAATATCTCTTCGAAAACTAGGAATAGAAGGGAACTCCTCAATTTTCTAAAGTGCATCCACAAAAAACTCTATAGCTAACTTTATACTTAATGGTGAAAAGACTGAATGCTTTCCCCTCTAAGATCAGGAACAAGGAAAGGAGGTCAAGTCTCACCATTCTTTACATCCCCAGCCATATTTTGTATTTTATTTAGAGACAGGGTCTCACTGAGTTACCTAGCATCTAGCTTTTGCTGAGGCTGGCTTTGAACTCACAATCCTCCTGTCTCAGCCTCCCAAACTGCTGGGATTACAGACATGCGCCACCATACCCAGCAAATCTCACCATTTCTATTCAATACTATAAAAGATGTCCTAGTCAGTGTAATCTGGAGAAAGAGTGTAGAGGGGGTCAGAAGAGTGCACAGGTTGGTAAGGAAGAATGTCAAACTCTCTTTACTTGCTGACAAAAAATCATTTATGTAGAAAATCCTAAGCAATCTACATAAAAGCTACAGAACTAATAGATGAGGATACAACTGGTTTTTTAATATTTACTGACCCCATGTCTCTACCTACACACCAGCAAAAAACTATTGTATATCTATTTTTACTATTTACAATAACAAAAATTGAAATATTTGGACAAATTTAGCAAAGTTTGTGTAAGACCTGTAGTGTAAAAATCACAAAACACTCCTGAGAAAAATTAAAGATAAAAATAAATGGCGAGTTAAAACATGTTCACAGTTTGGAAGGCTCAATAATAAGAAGTCAATTCTCCTCAAATTGATTTGTAGATTCAAAGGAGTCCCAATCAAAACTCTAGCAAGCTTTACTGTAGGAAAGCTTACTCTGAAATGTATATGGAAATGCAAATAACCTAGAATAGCCAAAACAACTTGGAAAAAGAACACAATTGGAGGAATTATACTACTTGATATCAAAAATTATAAGAAAGCAAAAATAATCAAGAATCAGGAATAAGGACAGACATATAAGTCAGCAGAAACCTAGCAAATTGATTTTCAATAAAGGTGCTAAGGTAATTCAACAAGGGAGGAAAAGCTGTCTTTTCAATAAATGCTGCCAGAATAATTGATATCCACATGTAAAAAAGCAAGCCCAAATCCTTAACTTCACCATACATTAAAAATTAACTCAATGATTTAAAATGTAAATTCCCTAAGATCCATGATTATATTGCATAATAAAATAATTTTTATCAGTGTCACATTGCTTTGAGGGAAAGAATTCTATACAAAATAAAAATAATATTAGCAAATAATACTAAACATTTAATAATATACCACAGGCCTAAATATAAGAGCTACAACTATTTAAAACCAGAAAAAAATAGTAACCTTTGTAAACCTGGAGTAGATAAAAATTGATTAAATAGCATTCAAAGAGCAAGAATCATAACAGGAAAAAAATGAACCTCAAAATTTTAAACTTGTTTTTCAAAAGACACTAAAAAATAAAAATGCCAGCCACAAACTGGAGAAATATTTGCAGTACATGCTCTGATAAAAAGAGGTGTAACTGAAACAAAGACTTTTATAATTCGAATACAAGAATGTAAACAACTCAACTGAAAATAGTTAAGAGACAGGAAGAAACACTGCACCAATGAGACCTGCAAATGACAAGCAAACACATGAAAAGATGCACAATTTCATTAGTCATTAAAGAAAAACAGATTAAAATGACCTTGAGATATTACTGGGTACTAGAATAGTTTAAAAAAAAACAACAACAACAAGCATTGGTGAGTATATGGAACAGGTAGAACCCTCACACAGTGCTTAAGGAACTGCAACTTTAGAAAATTGTTTTGTACTTTCCTATAAAGTTAAAAAGAGACATTTCATTTGACCCACTAGTACATACCTTCCTTTCTTAGGCATTTAACCAAAGAAAGATAAAAACATACACAAACAAAAGCTTGTTTAAAGATTTTTTGTTTGTTTTTTAATTTTTTAAATTTTTACTTTTTATTTTTTTTGTTTTAATTAGTTACACATAACATACAAGATTTTTTATTACTCAATATTGAAGTTACAGATGCACATATGAATGCATCAAGTTGTAGAGTTAAGAATTACCCTTCTATTTCTCAGTAGTGGTTATCTTGGAATTTAATAAACTTGGTTATTTAACTGCATTGCAAAAATCATTCCACATATGATACAAAGAAACTTTGACCATTTTGTAATGACACAACTGTGCAAAAAAGATGGAGCAGAGACAATCCTGAGGAAGTCAAGCTGTATTAATATCACCATTCAACAAAGACCTATAACAATGAAAGGGAGAACTAGATGTGCTAGGCATCCCTATGGCTATGGTCTGGAGTATTCTTCATTAAACATCTAAAGTGCAAGGAATGCAGGCGCTGACAGTGGCAGACAAAACAAAACAGTGCAACTCATACTGCAGTTTAAAAGTCATGAGGAGTACAAAGATGACTCTGCAGGTCACTTCACATTCAGGGATAAAGCCATATTTCCTTTAAGTAGAAAGATGAATCATCACAATATACCCTACCATCACCATCATATCAGAGCAGAACATGTAAGGGATTCACCAAAAAATTAATGTCTTTTAAATATATTTGGCCTATTTGCTTATTAACGTTTCTCCTCACTAGAATGAGGACAGTCCACAATGATAGGGATTTTTGTCTGGACTGTTCACTGCTATGTCACTAGTTCCCAAATTAAAATGCCTAGTGTACAAGAGTGTTCAATAAATACTTGTTAATTGAGTAAACTACATCTAGGTATATATTCAGGAAATATTTGTTATTTGAATTTATTATGCCTATGTAAACATTATTCATGGCCAAATGATGTAATATCCTTCTATAACCTTTCCCTTCTTTTTTAAAGATAGTTTTAGTTGTAGATGGACACAATTCCTTTATTTTATTTATTTTTATGTGATGCCCAGGATTGAACCAGTACCCCACACATGCGCAGCAAGTGCTCTACCACTGAGCCACAACCCCAGCCTCAACCTTTCCCTACTTATATGATTTTTTTGATTAAGAGTTAATAATTCTTTGTTATTTCAATATACTAAAAAAACCCTAAACTTGTAAGCAAGATTATTCTTATTTTTTTTTCACATATTTCTTAATTCTAAAATTTTCTAAAATGTATACATACACAGAGTAAAAAACAAATGCTTCTTCATAAATAAGAATTTTTTGGAGGAGTTTACCAATCAATAACAACATCCTTGGTTTTCGTTCAGCTAATTCCTCAAATCCATTCCCTCTGCATATGCTGTTTTCCCTACCTGGAAAACCCTCTGGCCTTTTCTATACATCTAGCCTTTCTCCAAATCAATCTCCCCAATTAAAAAAAATTTATCATACTGGTTAATCTCAATCCTTTGATCTACTTTGATTCACTAAATCCTAAACATCTTTAGAGCAGGTGATACACGGTATATTTCTCTCTCTACTGTTATAGCATGTTTGATAATGCTTAATTTGTTGAACTTACAGAATTTCAGTGAGAATGAAGAAGTTTGAGGGTACAAAAATGAATGTAAAACTAAGAAGATAAAGAAACACATTTGCATAATAATTAGGCTTAAGACCTACCAGTAGTGTCTGTCCCTGGGAAATGAAGAAGTGACCAGATATAACTATGGTGAGAACAAGATAGCCAGATTCTTCATTGGAATCGAAAACCTTGAAAAAGAGAAAAATATATTTAAAAAAATGTTTCTGTAATACTAAGAAACATAATTCTAACAATCCAACTATTTTCTCAAACAGAGAAAATATGAGAAACATTCTCCCTACCCTGAATGTTCCCTTGCCTTTCATTTAATCTGTAGCCTTTCCCTCATAGCTTCAAGTTTTTCCTCATATTTCCTGGGACAACAGCTAAGCTTTTAAGAAATAAAATTAAACACCAATATTTTTAAACAGAAAGAATACCAGATTAATAATCAAGAGATGTGGGTCCTTTGTGTATATATACCACAGTTTCTTTATCCATTCATCTATTGAAGAAGACACGAATGGTGTGACTCTACTTTATGTACAACCAGAGAATTGAAAAATTGTGCTCTAAATGTGTACTATGAATTGAAATGCATTCTGTTGCCATGCATAACAAATTATAATAAATAAACAAATTATAAAAAAAGAGATCTGGGTCCTGAGCCAACCACTTTTCAATTACATACATTTTTATAAATAATTTATTCTCTCTGAGCCTCAATTTTCCTCTCTATAAAATGGAGATAATGCCTTATAAAGTTGTTATGATACTTCAGGGTCCTAGTTTATTCAGCCAAATAATCCATTTTTCACAACCTCTTGAAATCTGCAGCCTTCCTTTGGATGAGCTATAGTTTGTCAATGTCACACAAAACATGATGCCACAAATTTACCATAATCCTGCTATGATCTAGTTTTATCTCCTATTACTGAAGCAGTACAGCCTACAATCATTAACCTTTTCAGGGGCAGTCTCATTGAAGAGGTAGATCTTAAATAAATTAACACCTTGAAACTTGTCACCCATGTTGGTAAATTATACTTTTCCTTTTTTTCATCTTAAACCTTGTAAGGCCTTGCATTTATCCCTCTTAAATTTTATATTGTTAGATTTGGTCTATAGTGCTAACTATTTGAACTGTGGTAAGAAATTGAGGCAACTGAAGTATCAATGAGGACATGACCAATACATATGTAAGCATAGGATTTGGTTCTTAAGTAACTGTACTATGTAGGTTACTTTAATAGTTTGAATAAACACTAGAAAACACTAGAAGACAAACATCTTTGTATAAAGGAGAAATTATAGCACACCTTAATGCTAAAAGAGCAAAATAATTAACATAACTAACCCAACTTAAGATATATGTTTATAATGTCCTGTAATCTATTGAGTAATAATGCTCTATCTTATAGTTATATATACAGGTTTTGGAACTTTAATGTTATACTTCCATACACAATTTCCTATTGAGTTCTAATTCATTTTAAAGCACATACTTAATAATAAAAATTTTCGATGTCAAGGGAATCAGGCTTAGCTCTGCACTAATTCTTTCAGTGACTGCTATTCTGCCTCTTTCCCAGTATTGGGAGCCTGGTTACTTGTGGAACAATCTTCCCACCATAGTGTTTACACAGGTTACCTTTTATAATTCATGACCACTTAGAAAGAGGATAGCCAGGACTCAAGCACAGCTTGGAAAACTAGAGCCTAGACAACAGATTTTTCCCAAGGAGGTATGTTAACATGACAGTTTAACATTTTTTTTAAAAAAAAAATGTAACATGTATGCCAAAAAGTATGCAAAACTAAATGTGCAGCTCAATGAAGGATAATCAAGCAAATAAATCACCACTACCAGGGGAAAGTAAAACATTATCAGACTTCCAGAAGAGCTCCCAGCACTGTTCAACCACTATTTACATTCTCCTCCCCTCTAATAATGTCCATTCTGACTTTTAATAACATACTTTAGTTTTATTTATAAAAATAGAATCATACAGAAATACTTTTTCTGTTTGGCTTCATAAACACTGTTGCATGTCATTTTTTTTTCTTATTATAGAATACCATTCAGTGACCATACCACAATTTATTCTTTCACTCTGTTTTATGTATGTGTATGTTTCTTTTTTGTTCTAATTTGTTATATATGACAGAAGAATGCATTACAGAATGCATATCACACATATTGAGCACAATTTTTCATATCTCTGGTTGTCACTCTGTTTTTATTGGTGAATATTTTTTCTCATATTTGGTCTATGTCCTCTATCCACTTTGAGGTTTTTAAAATATATATATATATATTGCTTTTAGTTGTCCATGGATCTTTATTTTATTTGTTTATGTGCTTTATTTATGAGAATTAAACCCAATGCCTCACACATGCTAGGCAAGTGCTTTACTACTGAGCTACAACCCCAGCCATTGAGTTGAGTTTTGTACAGGGTTAGAGATAGGGGTTCAATTTCATTCTCTACATATGGATTTCCAGTTTTCTCAGCACCATTTTTTATCTTTTCTCCAAAGCATATTTATGGTACATTTATCTAATATGAAATAATTGTATTTATATGGGCATGTCCTGGTTTTCTCTTTTGTTTCACTGGTCTCCATGTCTGTTTTGGTGTCAATACCATGTTGTTTTTATTACTATAGCTCTGTAGTATAATTTACCATCTGGTACTGTGATGCCTCCTGCTTTACTTTTCTTGCTAAGGAATTCTTTTGTTATTCTGGGCCTCTTATTTTTCCAAATAAATTCCATGACTGCTTTTTATATATTTTTTTTAATTTTTATTATTTTTTATTTATTTATTTATTACAGCAGAATGCATTATAATTTTATTAAACATATAGAACACAATTTTTCATATATCTGTTTGTATACAAAGTATATTCACACCAATTCATGTCTTCATACATGTACTTTGGATAATAATGATCATCACATTACACCATCATTTCTAACTTCATGACCCCTCCCTATTTTTATTATTTTTAATTGACCTGGAATAATTATACATATTTATGGGGTACAGTGTGACTTTTCAATACATATATAAATATGTAATGATCAGAACAGAATAATTGTAATATCCATCACTTCAAACATTTATTTGTCTGTGTGTGTGTGTAAACATTCAAAATCCTTTCTACTCACTATTTTGAAGCATTTAGCATACTTTCCCAAATCCATTGTCTGTTCCTAATCT